TTACTGTCAGAAGATAACTCAAGATAAACTGGATTGTTGATCTGTCAACAACCGGAATCTTGATAATAAATTTATTACATAACATGAAAAATAAGTATTAAATAGTGGAAGTATCATTATTTTAGGTTAACGTCATACTGTTTGTTATTTAATAAGTTTATTGTATGCCTAAATGCAGTTATTTTCAGTATGGACTTGTGCAGATTATTGAATATTACCAAAATCTTGAAATTAGGTGTACAAACTCGTGACTGAAGGTCGTGAGTTAGATCTCAGATGACAAGGTTGTGAATGTACATTGCTAAGAAGTTTCACACTAGAACGAAATGTCTTTCTAGTTTTTCCAACTTGTCAGTGTTTATCTAACTTGGATCAATTCATGAACTCAACAGAAACCGTTTTCGTTTAGTCAACTCATAAATCAAAATTTGCTTATTGTTATGTTAGGCTATGTCGTAGATTAGTTTTTATCAACTATCAGTTGTACTTTCAATGAGTTAACAATCAATAAAGTCAACCATTAAATATTATGCAAAATAACACTATAGTAATAAAATATAAATGTTTCAAGGGACATAAAATCCCAAACTAAAACTCAAAACTATATCCTGTCGGTAGAACATGCTGGCGAAGACACTCATGGGGAAAATATAGTTATTCACAAGAACAACTATATCTTGTCATTTAATTTGCTCATTCATCAAAATCTTTTTGAAATGTATAGTATTCTATTTTTTACGAATGAAAGCTTTATAGTATAATATCATGGTAAAAAAGATTGGAATTAGCCTTAAAGTATTTCGTATTGTTTTAATTAAGCAAATCACCAAATCAAAGTAATAAGTAGCAAATAGTTTGATGAAAGAATCACTTTTCAAAAACGTCCATCCAAATATTAACATCAAAATATCATCCATTTCTTCGATACTTGAAATTTCACATTTTTTTTGTCATTTAGGTTATACGTATGGGTTGGTGAAAATGCTCCACCACAGAGAGCCTCGAGAAGGAATATACTGTGCAGAACAATTATTGCAGGAAAATGAATACCTTTAATCAATTTTAGAGACGTATTTTACTGAAGTAGGATGAACAAATACAAAACAAAAATACAAAATGTTTTTATTCGATTGTCATTCATAGGTGATCAAGTAATGAATAAAAGTAATTGAGGACTGAAAGAAAGTTTAAAAAACATACTTTTTCCTCGAAGTTGATTCCACTATACACCATATAATGCTGAATAATACAAGCTAAATTAAATAAATATTGGTCATACTTCCTGTTCAGCTGAATTTATCAATTAACATATACAACCAAAGCATGTATATTGAAAAGAAATAAAGTTGGTCTTCTACTTGTTGTAAATGAGCATATACCAAAAAACTTACACATACGAAGAGAAATCTGCTTATGTAATTCAGCACCACGCCACTTACTATATACTTCACATAATGTGGATTTAATGAATTAGTTCAAAGTTATCAATAAACACTTCTTTCCTACATTATTAGGATTCACATAAGTCATATCAATTAAAAGGTTTTAATTTGACCTGTTGATTCAAAAACAATTAGTAGTCAATCTTCAACATCCCTTAAAATACTGTGACTTCTTCTTCTAACCGATTTTAAACACAAATTTAGTGAGCTGAAGTCACAGGTCCACTTTTACTCTTGAAATGTTGTTATATTACGTAATAAAATGATTTTGACATTTTAAAACTATTTTGTAAGTGGAGTTCAACCAGATCTGTTGTGAGATATCAGCTCACTGAAGACAATGGTGTACGGTGGCTCAACTTCGTGGATTGTTTGAAGTTAGACATTAACACCATTGGATGCCGGCTCAGTGGTCTAGTTGGTTAAGCGCTTGGCGCGACACTGATAGGTCCTGAGTTCGAACCTCACGGGGTGCGGGATAGTGGATGCGCACTGCTGAGGAGTCTCATACTAGGACAAGTTGGCCATCCAGTGCTTCCAGGTTCTCGATGGTGGTCTATCTTCAATTAACTCATGATTTCAATCTGTGGTATTTTGTAAGTAATTATAAAAAGAACCCCCCTTTCAAAACTTTAATTCATTTCTTTCACATTATACAAAACTTATTCATTATAGATTGACAATTCGTTTCTAACATTATGTTAACAATTGGTAATAGTTATATATATTAAGAAGAGTCAGAGAAATACAATGGATTCACTGTATTCTGTAAATCTGGTCATTCTTGACTTATTTCTTCAATAAAAAAAAGTTTATTGTCAAGCCATTCTACTTTATATAATCATAAAATAATCACTATGGCAACAATATTTTCGCATTTGAATATGTTATAATTAATAGTTAAATAAATAATTAAACATGTTTACATTTGATCAAACTATGTTTCATCCTTCGGTATATTCGACAGCATTTCTCAGTATCATGAATCATCACATAAAAACAGTCATTAATTTGATTGTTTTCTTTTTGGATTTCCTTTTATATTAGAATTAATGAAAAGGTTACAAATTCAAATCAGCATTATATATTACCGAATAAATCATCAAGTTCATTTTGTTATCATATTTTTCTTTGGCACCAACGTTGTACAATTTCGATTTCCATTAATTACATTTATCGATTAACATTATCCTATTGTATCATGCTAGTTTTAACATTGTTAGAATAGTGTTACAGTGATTATACTACGGAATTGATTGGTTTTTCACGCTTAAAAAACTTCTTTCAATCATAAATAGTAACAATTTGTTTTACCTAACGCTACTATAATCGCTCTTTTATATTAATATGTATATACATGTTATACATTGATTAAATTACTGGAAATGATTTCACTGCATAACTATTCATAGGATGAGTTATTATAAAGCGATATTCTAAAGCTTTATAAACTGTGATAAACACTCGTACAAGTTAAGGATATTGAGTAAACGTTGACAGGATTGAGATAATATGCAACAATCAGTTATTTTTCGATGAAGTGATAAGATCTATATCAACATTATATGTAGAATAAAATCCGATATCAAAGTAGTTAGATATTTTTTGTATTATATGAAACAGTTATATTAACGAGGCAAAAGAAACAGCACAGAACAATTTGGGCATAAATGTCACGAATGATAAATGAAATAATGGTTCTTGTTTTAATTAGACTTAATCTATATTTGGCGCCAATCTTCCGTATTTCAGAAATGATATTATTTTCTTACATTACTGTTATTAGTGTATAGAGAGTGCCGTATATCATTAAATAGAGTGGGTTACTATTTATCTATTTTACATATTTATTTTTATGATATTGGAATTCAGTAAATATTTTCGTTCGATCACTTAATTGTAATAAAGATGAAAGGTTTTCAGTGTTCAGCATTATATGATAAATGTTATCCTTATCCACAGTGAATCTCAATTTCTGTGTAAATAAACCATTTCAGCGGTGTTTTTTTTAAAAACAAAATGAAATAGTTATATATACCGAATGCTCATATACAGAAATAGTGAAACACCTTTATCCGAGGTTCAATGCACATACATATGTGATGCACACTTCTTATATTTCCATAAGTCAAACAGTTAATCATGTTTCTATAAAAAAATTGTGATTATCATATCTTGCTAGTAGAAGAAATTATATTACAGCCTCTAATGAACACATAGACGTTCCACAAAGAATACTAATGAAAGTTATAAACTACTGTAACTACTGTAATTGCGTAAAAAAAGTGATGCCCCTTACTCAAGACTAACATTTTATTGTTTAGAGCATTTTTTTAAAAAAATCTCATTACTTTATTTAATATACTTGATAGTCTTGTTATCCACACATTTATTGACCGGATGGTTGCATATCCATTTTTCTTACTGAATAATTAAGTAAACACAGTTATAAAATAGGATAGCTTGAAACTAAAATACAGAAATCAACTACGAACATCACTGTAAATCCTACCCAGTCTTCAATCGATTAACTACCAAGCAAGTCATCAAAAGATATGTCCAGTATAATCTAAGCCGATAAAACTCGATTTTCAGAATGAGTCAATAGTGAAATTGAAAGTTGATTATAAATTATTTACTAGTATAGGAGTTGTGGAGATTATTAAGTTTTTGATTGAGAACATGAACCAATTGATGTTAGACCATCACAATTGGAAACCTGGAAGCACTGGACGGCCGTTTCGTCCCATTGTGGGACTCCTCAGCAGTGCGCATCCACGATCCCGCGAGCGGGATTCGAACCCAGGGCGTTCGGTCTCGCGCGCGAACGCTTAACCAACTGGACCACTGAGCCGGCATCCAGTGTTGATAGTTTCTCACATCAACCAATCCACGAAATTGCGCGACCAACTTCCATTGTACTGAGGTAGATAACTGTCTCTACCCGACAAGGATTAGCTCTACTGGTCACGGCTTCTCACTAGAACTCCGAGAATTCCCTCACAAAACTAGTCACTAGTGAGCACATGTTGATTACAAGTATAGGAGTTGTGGAGATTATTAAGTTTTTGATTGAGAACATGAACCAATTGATGTTAGACCATCACAATTGAAAACCTGAATATATGAATATATGAAGAAGAGATTGATTTACTTGTTCCGCATAGTTTTTAGTTCTTTAATCATCATTAGATTGATACGTAGTGATACAAGATATGGTTCATTGTTTTCAATATAACTCAGTCTACTTTAACCAGTTCTGATATCATAGAACTCATTGATCTCAATAAGCTTTATTAAATAAATACTAAATGGGGTTGGTTAGTTTATCATTTGAATATATAAAACAAACTATTAATCTAGAATTTTTTTTGTTTTATATTTAAAATAAAACATAATAATGATTATAAACCAAATGCCGGTAACATTTACATAAGTATGATTAATTATTCTATGAATTATAGTAATAAATATACATTCGTTTACAAACCCAATAATAATAATATATGAATATATTCCTAAATAAGAATCTTAACTTCTGTTGTTGTTTTTTATCAGTTATATATCATCATCACATATTTCTCTTTCTCTAATACTCAATGAATCTTCATTTATATTTTTACATTGTGAATTTTCAATACAATCTATAGTATTATTATTATTATTATTATTATTATTATTATTATTATTGGTATATTGACATTGTTTCTTATCATGTAATGAATGATAATGACAATGTGAATGATTATCTTTATGTTGAAAAGAATTATCTCTATATGAACTATAAATACCATGACGATAATTATTCCAATTAAATGAATGTGTTGGTTTTAATTGTGTAATTTTTGAATTATTATTATTATTATTATATGAGATGGGATGAAATTCTGATTGGGGCATAGCAACTGAATTTAATAGAATACGGTTACTAGTATTATTATTATTGTTACCAATATTAATATTATTATTATTAATAATATTATTCCATGGACATAAACAAATAAACATTCGATTTAAATAATCACGAAAACCTGGTAAACCAATTGCATAAATCATTATATTAATAATAGAATCAAATGTTAATAATAAATCAGCAACTAATTTAGCTAATTGAAATTCAATTTTTAAATTAGTATAATGTTGTATAATAACTAAAATAAAACTAGGTGTTTGAAAGCATAAAAATGAAATAGCTAAAAATAATATAGTTCTTGTAGCTTTCATTTGATGTCTTCGACGTACATTAGTTACTTCAATAATTTTAGTATCACGCCATGGTGAAACATAAAATGATATAATAAATGACATGATTAAAACAATTAATGTTGGTGCAATCACTTGAAATATAAAAAAACAATATGCTTCATAGTTAATAATGATATATTGATCTAATAAAGCATCAATATATGTTACAGTATTTGTTTTTTGATTAAAATCATTGAATGCATCTAAGTTATTTGTATTTAATAATGATGTTTCACTTGATTGTATAATTAAATCATTCATTTGATTATTTGATAAATTACAGACAATTGCATAATCATAAAATGCACGTACAATAGCAAGAAATCCAGATAGAATCCATAAAAATCCATAAATAAATTTTATTGAAGAATGTGAAAGTATACGTCGTTTACGCATTGGATAAACAACTACCTCTGTACGAGCTGATGTAATTAATACATTACACCAATTACGTGTGCATAAAGAACAATCAGAACCCCAATTAATAAGAGCAAATAATATAAATTCTGTAGGACTTATCATTCGTGGATTTAATGAACATATAAGTTGTGTAGTATATTCTATACAAACAAAAAAATGAAACAGTACTTCAGTAGCTGACAAAACAAGTAAACTTGTTCTCATAACTGATTTTCTGTGTTGTCTTGAAAATATTGAAATACATAATCCATTTAATATTAAAGCAATTATGCTAAGTATTAATATTGGTAAAGAATATTCCAGTTTTATAATACCAGTAGTACTTATATTTCCACTACATGTACTATTGTATTCTATCCATAAAGTTCCATCAAGCATGATCTTGTGTTATAGATCTATATATATGTATATGTATGTTTTAATCTAATTGAAACTTACTACTAATACATTTGTAAATAATTAGTAAATATGAATAAGGCATTAAATGTGAACGATAAAAAATAGATAATATAATCATAATTTTTTCGAGTCATCTTATTGGTTAATTTATTAACCAATCAAAATAGACTATGTAACATTATCAAGAATCCAGTTACCATAATACATTTTGTAATTACTATTTGAAGGAAAGAAAATGAAATCTTGATAAAAGTATTAGATAAGTATCTTTTCTATAATGAGAATAAGTAGTCAGGTTAATATAAATTTATATATTGTTACTCATGAATATCATATAACTGAATAATTCCATAAGCTGTATAACATTTTTCTATAGTTAAAAGATCAACATATTCACATTATTCAATTCAAACTAGATAGATCATGACAAAGAAGTAAATGCTTATGAGTGAACAGTTTTTAAATGTTATTGTATTCTCATTTAGTCAAAATGTCGCCTATATTCCCTCTCTTTTTCATTTTGAATAAAATAACTTGATGTAGTTAACTGTTATCTTCTAACAGAACTGTTTATATTTTATTTTAAAGAATATTAGTAGAATATAATTTCATGACAAAAAGAGATTAATCAATCTAAACAAAGTTATAGCATGCTGGAAGTTATAAGTGATATATTTGTTTATATGAAATTAAAATTCGTTTTTTGATATGCATATATATATATATAATGTCCTACTTCTCCTCTGTAGTGTTAAACATGGTGACTAACGAACCTAAGCTACAAATCATAGTCTTTAGATTTTCGGTAGGCATTTTATGATTCACACGTGGAATAGTACATACGGACTGAATCTAAGTAAATTCTTTTTCTATTATCTAGTTAATTTAGGTATTTTTAGTAATTTCATGTTTGAACATGATGCCTTCTATGCAAAGTACCATATTTAAAACTTTTTATTTATATACTTTTTAACTTTCTACTTTAATTGTATTAGTTTTCTCAGTAATCACATAGTCCATTACTTTCTAGACACTTGAAACGATAACTTTTCTCAGTTGTAGGACTCAACAGACTACTATAGTTCTTTATAGATATTCTTCCCGAAAATCCATAACGGTTTTATTTTCATTTAATACGTTTTATGACATCATTTAAGCCTCATATTGATTTCCGATGCTTATATATATGAATGATTTAGAGCAGATTAAAATCATTTTGAGTTCAATTGTGTTAAAACTTTATGATCAACATAAATCTCTTAAAGTAATTCACTGATAATTTTCTTTAATGTGCCACTTAATTGAAATCAAAAACGAAGTCACCTTTTATTAGTTGTTCTAAAAAAACAATCTGATCGTTTCATTTCTTGATCAATTGAATATTCACAAAGATACGCCACCATATACCATTGTCTTCAGTGAGCTGATATCTCACAAAAGACCTGGTTGAACTCCACTGGTCCTGGGTTCGAATCCCGCGGGGTGCGGGATCGTGGATGCGCACTGCTGAGGAGTCTCATACTAGGGCGAAACGGCCGTCCAGTGCTTCCAGGTTTTCGATGGTGGTCTAGCTTCAACTGACTGATGATTTCAATCTGTGAAAATTTCTAAAATCTCCACAAACCCCTTCTGATTCACAAAGATACTCATTTTCTTTGTATTCATTTGTTAGTAAAAATAATAGTAATTCATTCTTTTATAATTATGAACCATTTCGATTTATGACTGATAGACGACATTGAAATAAATAAACATGAAAATCATTTTGTAAATAATGTCAAAATTTGAGCTAACTACTCATTTAATTTATGTTTATATTTGTCGGATTTGCAGCCTAAAATATAAAGGATGTCAGGAATGAAAATATATTCATAGATTTGAAATTAAAAATTCTCGAAGTTTCATAAAATCATCTGATCAGCTTGAAAGGTACGATCAATATAAGAATTGTGAAAGATGGGTTTAGTCTTAAGTAAGCAATCATGTTCAGATGTTAAATTTGGTTTATAATGTGGTTGTAGGTAATTTAACATGTAAGATGTTGAAATAAAATAGTATGTGATAAAAATGAGATCTACTATCTATTCCCACGGATTTTAATGCTACTCTTGATATATTTTCTCAAGCTTTCTGAAGTCATTCAAGGATATTACATAATGTTTGAAAATTTCAATCGTATTAAAACAATGATAATATGAACGAGGAATATTCAATTTAAGGACGAACCAATCAGGTATAAGATAGCAGGTCTCGGATTTTGACGCGAAATTCGCTCACCCGTCTAGCCAAATAGCGTCCTAGCATTTTAGTTCGTGATGAAAAACTGTAAATCTAATTCCTGACCCTAACCATCAACTGTGAATCAAACTGCTTTATAGCCCTCAATTAGCCCTATTCAGTAGGTAGACAATAATAAAGTCACTTTGGCGTCGCTCAAAGGTCGTCCATAAATTATAGTCTCATAGATTATTCTTTTCAAAAAGAAAACTGTCTTTTCATACATTGTTTTTGCTTTTTACATTTCTGATATTCTTCATCATATATTTGTTTATAAACTTCCTAGAATTTTACTATTCTTATTACTAATGTCCCAACTTCAATACTAATCTTATAATTACATGAATAATTTTTTTAGCATACAACTTTGTTTATTATTTCTTATTAAATTCATATTAATTCATAAGGTCCATAGCCTTCCAGTAAAATTTCGATCAGATCTGTGATTGTATGATAATTTCTCTTATCCTATGTCATCTGATTCTTAATCTCACAACTTTATTTAAACTATGAGTAAGTTTGAAGTTAACATTGTACATTAACAGTTTTACTTGGTATTATTTACTTGATTTTTCCCATTGATATTTAGGACTGCAATTAATCAGTCACTTATTGGTATATGTGCATACTGTGCTCATTGATTCGATATAGCCTTATAATTCTTGTGAATTCAAGTGAATTTAAACTTCACTTCATTGCACAAGCAAGTGGATATCAAGATTCAGTGGTTAAGTGGGTAACGCGGTAGCGTTTGAAGCGAACGGTAATGGGTTGGAATCCCGGAATGAACATCAAGTCTGAGATGCAAGTACATCTAGCTGACGGCTCCCAAATAGGACAAGATGGGCGTCCTGGATTCCACTGAGAGCCACTATCCATCTTCGCATATTAAAAGTTTTATTTTAAAAGCAATCTTAAGTTGGCATTTTGTAATTTTAAACGATATAATTGCTTCAAACTTGGTGATATTTTAAGATTATTAGTATGGATATCTAATTGTAGGACATATAAATAGTCGAATTCATGAATCGATGTAAACCTGGAAGCACTGGATGACCGTTTCGTCTTAGTACGGGAACCTTCATCAGTGAGCATCCACAATTCTGCATGTGGGACTTTCACTAATGGCTGAATTCCCTGGATTTCTATTAAGAAGCCATAACCAATGGATTTCAATCCCTGTCGCGTAGAGACAGTTATTTACCTCAGACAATAAATGAACGGTTACACAAGATCATGGATTGACTGAAGTTTGATATTAACACCACTAGATTTCGTTGATTTACAGATTAAGCTTCCGCGAACAGGACCGAAGTTCCTGAGTTGGTGTCCCACTTGTGGAATAGTGAATGCGCACCTCTTAAGAGTCCCATACTAAGACAAAAAGGTCATCCGGTGCTTTCAGATTTTCAATGGTGGTTTAGCTTACATTGATTCATGAATTTAACCTTTAAAATTATTGCACTATCCATAAACCCCTACTCTGATCAAAAATTTATTAAATAGGATAAAGTATTGTTTCGAATTTCATTTTCATTCTCTCACTCTCAAATCCAATTGTTCAGTTGTCTTGCCTACATATACAACATTCCAATCAGTATGTTTTATATTACAGTGATGATTTTATTGTCCCTCTCTCTCTCTCTCTCGATTACATTCTTGACATTCACTAATGTAAAACGAGAATATTGAAAATGCCAAAATGTCTAAATTGTAACAATAAAAAAAAACGTTAATCTTGCTAATAAATAAAATTTACTTCGAATAGTTACGTTTGATCAGATTTTTCATTATTCTTAATTATTCATTCATTTTCTATTACACTATAGACAGATTACATTCATCAATTTTTAGTAATCCTGGATGTATATGAGTTCTTCTAGTCTATTTGATTATTTAGCCGCACTAATACATTTCAAGTTCATAAATTTTTTTATGAGATTCCCGGCATTTGAACCGTATGAAAATGGAATAATTTAAAAGCAAATTAAGTTCCTTCAAACTGACTCACAACAAATCGTTTTAATTCGAATGCTGTAAAATCACGTTAAATATTAATATATTAACTTTCCTTGTCTATTTGTAATTGATGAAATGGCGGAGAGAAACTAAAATATTATCATAGGTGGAAAAAGTTCCCTACCTGGATTTCATAAATCAAATAGGCGGTGAGCCATAATTTAAACATTCTACAAAAGAATATAATCATAGACTTTGGTATATAAGTATGCTTTAGTACTTACATATCATCCGTTGTAATTGGTAGTGCGTTCTCATAGTTTGAAAGACCAAGTAAATGTATTATAAATGTAAGTATAGGGTCATGGACATTGTTGAATTTCATTGAAATCACGAACCAATTTGAATTAAAGGACTATTGAAAACCTAAAGACACCGAACGGCCATTTTGTCCCAGTGTAGAGCTTCTCGTGGGTATGCAGACATGACCCCGTACACGAGAATCTAACCCAGCACCTTCGGCCTTACGCACGAACAACCCATAAACAACTGAGCCGGCATCCGACAGTGTTATTGTCTAATTTCAATCAACTCACTACACTGCTCGATCGTCCTTCATTGTCTTTGTTGAATAACTGCCTCACACTCAATAAGGCTCATATCCAAAACAGAAGATTTAATTTCCGCATTCAGGATCGTAGATATGCAATACTGAGGAGTAAATGGTGGTTGGAGGTAGTCAA